TTTTAGTAGAGACGGGGTTTCACCGTGTTGACCAGGATGGTCTCGATCTCTTGACCTCGTGATCCACCCATCTCGGCCTCCCAAAGTGCTGGGATTACAGGCTTGAGCCACCGCACCCGGCCCAAGCCTTTGTCATTTAATGTGTGCTCAATAAAGGCCAGGCAGCTGCTGCAACTCTTTACAGCACTCTCCCTGAGTGTCTTTGAGTGCCACAGGCCCCCTAAGCACACTTTTTCACTGAATATTGGTGTTTGAGTACATTATTCATTCCTTGTGCAGCTGGGGTCTGCAGGACGGCCCCTGGCAGGTGGTGACCCCTATGGGATATGTAACTGTAATTGTCAATGGGGTTCTCCTTCCCTTAGAGGCCTGCAGAAACTTGCCTCAAATGCATTGCCAATTCATGAATTGGGAGAGGCAGATTTTATGTCTAAATTGCAAGGGCGAGACTTGAAGGTATGAACTGGGAGTAAAGTGAGTGCTCAGGTGCAGGGATCCTCTGTTTTGTTCCTCACACAGCTCCCAGCACTTGAATGAATGAGGCTCAAAAAAATGACAGGCATAGGTCGTGCAGTAGTCTAGTCCAGAACGCATATTTGATTACAAAGCCCGCAGGCTTTCATAGTTTAAAAACACTAAACATTTAATTCACTACAACGGAGGCCAGGCAGGTAATGGAAAACATCTGAAGTATGTTGGGCACACTGTGGTTAAAAGGTGAAGGAGCTGGGCGTGGTGGCTTACGCCTGTAATCCCAGCACTTTGGGAGGCCGAGGCTGGCGGATCACGAGGTCAGGAGTTCAAGACCAGCCTGGCCAACATGGTGAAGCCCCATCTCTACTAAAAAAAAAAAATTAGCTGGGTGTGGTGGCCCGGGTCTGTAATCCCAGATACTCAGGAGGCTGAGGCAGGAGAATTGCTTTGAACCAGGACTCGGGAGGCGGAGGTTGCAGTGAGCTGAGGTTGCGTCACTGCACTCTAGCCTGGGCTACAGAGCAAGACTCCATCTTAAGAGAAAAAAAAAAAAAAAAAAGACGAAGGAATATTTATCTACAGTGGCAGCCGCCATTGAGAATTGTTTCACTGCCTTGCAGAAAGGAAGGCCCATTGTCGTCTCTTTATCTCAAGGCCGATTTCTTTTTATATTTTTTTGAGACGGAGTCTTGCTTTGTCGCCAGGCTGGAGTGTAGTGGCGTGATCTCGGTTTACTGCAACGTGCGCCTCCCGGGTTCAAGTGATTCCCCTGCCTCAGCCTCCTGAGTAGCATGCCACCAGCCTGGCTAGTTTTTTTGCATTTTAGTAGAGACTGGGTTTCACCATGTTGGCCAGGATGGTCTCAATCTCCTGACCTTGTGATCCACCGGCCTCGGCCTCCCAAAATGCTGGGATTGCAGGCGTGAGCCACTGCTCTGGGTCGTATCTCAGGGCCGACTTCTTGTGAAATCTCTCAACTTTTAAATATTTCCAATCAAAAAACTGCGGCTCAAATGCAGCCCTCAGGGAGCGTGTTTGCAAACTCTGGCGTAAACAAGAGCGGGAAGCTGATAAGGCGAGTACCTCAATTCGATAGTGATAACCCAGAATCGGGGAGATTTGCACCTAAGGCAAGAATGAGATTCTCTACCCAAGGGTCCCGGAAAGAAGACTGAATTAAATGCAGATTAGAGTCAGGTCAGGGCTTGGTGGCGGGAGGACTACGTTGCCATCGCAGGTCCAGCCAGCGCAGCCGAGGTACAGACCATGTACAGACCACGGGGAGTGGTGTTAGGGGCGTCTCAGCATAAAGGCAGCGAGCGGCTGCGCATTTCCACCCTGGCTCTTTCAGAAGTGAGCCTTCTGTGGAACAAACCCTAGCCTTCTCCCGATTCCTTAAATCACTCCGCGATCTACTTCCTCCCCTGGCTCCCCATAGTCTTCCACAGTCCTACGACTTCCGCTTCCCTAGTCGTCTGGGAAACCGCCGACTTCCGGCCGCGCAGTGGTGGGCGGAGCCAAGATGGCTGAGGAGCGAGTCGCGACGGTGAGCGCTGAGATTCTGTTTAGTTGCCAGGCCCTGCGGGCAAGGCAGGGGAAGGCGGCCAGGCAGCCTGGCGAGTGTCCTCTGTCCCAGGCAGCCGTTCCCGGAGAGAGGCGGAGCTGGGTGCCTAGCGGCTCAGGGTGGGCGGAGCGACGCGGTCCCCTTTCTACTGTCCCGGGAGCTGGTCGCCTGGCGCAAGTCTGGATACTGTGCAGCGCAGATCCTGTTCTAGGACTGTGACCCCTCTAGGGGTGCGCTGGACGGGGGAGGGAGACTTTTCCCCAGTAATGGCTCTTACCCTAGTCCCATCTTGTCTCGGGGGTTTGGAAGGTAATCACTAGCACTTGTGTAGACAGTTTCTGTTAATCCCAATTCATGGGATTAGCAGGACCACAGCCTGGAAGCTTTCAGCCTAACTGCCTTCAGCTTGTGGAGCAGAACCATGTTTTATTCTGTGGTGATTAAGTTTAGGAAAGAACGGTTTTGGAATTCAGCTAGAGTGTGACTTGGGCGTTAACTCCACAGAACTGCTAATATAGAGTAACCCCGATGAATGCAGGATGACCTGCTAGTCGCTATTTTTTTTTTTTTTGAGGTATATATCCATAATTGGATCTAATTTCGATAAAGTCCCAAATGTGAAGCCTTGTTTACCTTGCTTGGGTTTCAAAGAATTGGGTTTCAAAGCCTGTTCTGTCTGTTAGAATGATTTTAGTTATTTGGAATTTATTGTCTTTAGAAAAACGTCCTGGAAAACAGTAAAATCAGCCTTTGGCTGATTTACATCTTAGTTTTGGCTAAGCAGCGAGTTAGTGTTATTGGCTAGAGCCTTTTGTTTGTTTTCTACTCTCATTTGCAGAGTAATCACGTTAGTCTAATTAGAACACTCTGAATACAGAAACTTTTTTTTTTTTTTTTTTTTTTTGAGATGGAGTCTAGCTGTTGTCAGCCCGGGCTGGAATGCAGTGGCGCAATATCTCGGCTCACTGCAACCTCAGCCTCCCAGGTTCCGGCAGTTGTGCCTCAGCCTCCCGAGTAGCTGAGATTGCAGGTGCCCGCCACCACGACCAATTTATTTTTGTATTTTTAGTAGAGATAGAGTTTCACCATGTTGGCCAGACTGGTCTTGAACTCCTGACCGCAGGTGATCCTCCCGCATCGGCCTCCCAAATAACTATCCTTTCTTTGTTGGTAATCTGGTGATATATTTTCTTCTTTGACTGCTTTTAAGAGATTCTTCTTGTCTGCGGTGCGGTTCTTTGTGATGTATCTAAGTATGTATTTATTTTCATTTAACCTGGTCAGAAGTATCCCGAAACTAAGGATCCGTGTTGGGCATTACATCTGGAAAAATTTGAGCCGTTATTTCTGCTTATATCATGGTATGTCATAGGAAGTTGATGTAAGGAAAATCCATCTGATGGTTTTCTACGAAGTTATAGTGTAAAATAACTATCTCCCTGTTAGAACTGAGTGCTAGACAGGTTTTGTGTAGATGACCTCATAAGCTTCCTTTTACCAAACAGTAATCACTTTTTTGGTTTGGCTGCTGAGGAGTATGGTATCGAGTGTAATACTAATAAGAGGGGTCTCAGAACTTAGTATATTTCTTATGCATATTTACTATATACTATAATTATACATTAACAATGCACATTGTAAATATGATAAGTATGCATTATACATTGTTAGTAGTTTGGATAGCAAAAGTATGACATGACATTTGTTTTTTAAACCATATTCAAAATAACAGAGTGTGGATTTAATGGATTAATTGCATAATTGGTGAGCTACTGATTATTCTTGTTATTTGGATGTTTCTTTAGCAAGTTTATATTGTGATGCTTCAATATAGACTACTTATTTCATTTCAGAGAACTCAGTTTCCCGCATCTACTGAGTCTCAAAAACCCCGGCAGAAAAAAGGTCTGTATGCAATTTCATTGTAGGTGTATATTTGTACAGACTTCTGAGATGGAGTCTCACTCTGTTATCCAGGCTGGAGTGCAGTGGTGCGATCTTGGCTCACTGCAACCTCTTCCTCTGGGGCTCAAGCAATTTTGCCTCAGCCTCCTGAGTAGATGTGATTACAGGTGTAGGCCACCACGCCTGGCTAACTTTTGTATTTTAATAGAGATAGGGTTTCAGCATGTTGGCCAGGCTGGTCTGAAACTCCTGACCTCAGGTGATCCTCCCAAGCTGTGATTATAGGTGTGAGCCACTGCACCTGGCCAGATTTCTGTTTGTTTTTTTTTTTTCCCCCCTCTGAGATGGAGTCTCGCTCTGTTGCCCAGGCTGGAGTGCAATGCACCATCTTAGCTAACTGCAACCTCTACCTCCCAGGTTCATGCAATTCTCCTGCCTCAGCCTCCTGAGTAGCTGGGACTACAGGTGAGTGTCATCACGCCTGGCTAATTTTTTGTATTTTTAGTAGAGATGAGGTTTCAGTGTGTTAGCCAGGATGGTCTTGATCTCCTGACCTTGTGATCTGCTCGCCTGGGCCTCCCAAAGTGCTGGGATTACAGGTGTGAGCCACTGCACCCAGCCAATTTCTGTCTCTTGTTGATTCTTTTTTATATTCTATATGGTTTCAAAATGAGTGTTGGGAAAAGAAGTAATAGTCTAAATGTTCTGTCACATCTAGTTTTTATTTAATAGAGTTATTAGATGTTAGGAGTTTGGTTTGACCTGGAAATTTATTTAAATGGGGTTTGATTATTACATAAGTGTGTACTAATTTTCTGCTTCTGGGAAAACCACTCTGTGAAGTTCCAGATATCTTTTTGCTGTTGGTTTCTAGTTTAATTCTATTGTGGGTAGAGAACTTACTTTATATGGTTTGTTTTATGGCCCACAATGTGGCCTGTGTTGATGAATGTCCCATGTGTACTTGGAAAGAATGTGTATTCTGCTCTTGTCGGTGGTAGTGTTCTGTAAATGTCAGGTCAAGTTGGTAAATAGTGTTCTGTATACTTATAGTTACAGATACTCATATTCTTACTGATGTAGATACTGACTGGGAGGGTGATAGAAGAGTGTTGAAATATGCAAATGTAATTGTGGATTGTTTTGTTTCTGCTTTCAGTTCTATCAATATTTGATGTGTGTATTTGAAAGATCTGTTGTTGGATGCATATACATTTAGGATTGTTTGATTTCTTGGTAAATTGGCCCTTTTGTCATTATGTGATATTCCTCTTCAACTTCTGATAATATTCCTTGTTTGTCTTATAGTAACATAGTTATTTTAGTTTTGTTTTGGCCAGTCTTTGAATGGTATCAATGTATAATTTTCATATAGTAAAATTCACTCTTTTTAGTACAAATTCTGAGAGTTTTGACAAATGAAAATAGCCATGTAACCACTACCACCACCATAATCAAATTATAAAAGTTTAATTACTCCCCCCAAATTCACCTTTACTTGGTAGTAAACCACTTCTTTCATTCCCAATTGCTGGCAGCCATTATTCTGTTTCTTTCTTCCTAGTTTTGGCTTTCTCAGAATGCCAAATAAATTGAATCATACATTGTTGTTATTATTTTGAGAGAGGGTCTTGCTCTGTCATCCAAGCTAGAGTGCAGTGTTGTGATTATAGCTCACTGCAGCCTCAAACTTCTGGGTTCAAACGGTCTTGCCTAGTAGCTGTGTCTGTAGATGCATGCCACCATTCCTGGGTAATCTTTAAAATTTTTTTGTAGAAACAGGGTTCTGGTTATGTTGCCCAATGGTTTTGAACTCCTGGCTTCAAGTAATACTCCATCTTTGGCCTCTTGAAGTGCTGGAATTATAGGCATGAGCTATTGAACTTGGCTCATGTAAGTTTTTCAGTGGCTTTTTAAACCTCATATAGTGTTTTTATTTGTTTGCTTTGTTTGTTTTGAGATGGAGCCTTGCTCTGTCGCCCAGGCTAGAGTGCAGTGGCGCAGTCTTGGCTCGCTGCAACCTCTCTCTCCCAGGTTCAAGCGATTCTCATGCCTCATATTCCTGAGTAGCTGGAATTGTAGGTACCTGCCACCATGTCTGGCTAATATTTGTATTTTTAGTAGAGATGGGGTTCCACCATGTTGTCCAGGCTGGTCTTGAACTCCTGACCTCAAGTGATCCACTTGCTTTGGCTTCCCAAAGTACTGGGATTATAGGCATGAGCTACTGCACCCAGCCCAATGTAGGGAAGTATTAAGAAAACAGGAGAAGGAGGCCATGGCAGGCAGATCACCTGAGGTTGGGAGTTCAAGACCAGCCTGACCAACATGGTGAAACCCTGTCTTTATTTAAAAAAAAAAAAGAAAAGAAAGAAAAAAAAGAAAACAGGAGAAATATCCTTCAGGATGAATGAACTTTAATTAAAAATCAAAATATTTTGAATAAAAAGCTGTCACATTTTACTGTGAAATCGTTAAAACCTCTAGTTCAGGTTTTTTCAGCTTTGGCATGAATCATATTTTGAGCAGGATAATGCTTTGTTGGGGGAGTTGTCCTGTCTATTGTAGGATGGTTAACAACATCCCTGGCATCTACCTAGTAGATGAAAGTAGCAGTTAGTTGTAACAACCACACTTGTCTCCAGATGTGTCCAATTGTTCCTTTTGGAACAAAATTGTTCCCACTTGAGAACCACTGCTCTGGTTAAGTAGTATAACACTTGAAACTAGAAAGCAGAAAATTGGTAAGTGCATGAAGAATTCACATATAAATTGGATTAGCAAGCAGAGAGACTTTGAACAAGTAGCCATTGGAGGCATTTTGACTGAGAATGGATGTTGTCCCTTCCCCTCCTCCTCCCCTCCTCAGCTTAAGAGGTCCATATCCTAGTTTGACTCTTTAGTTTTGAGAGTGGTGAGTGCCAACTGTGGAAGGGATAAACAGATTTCTATTTGGTATTTTTGTCCATATATATCAGGACTTTTTTTCAAGAACAGGCAGTGGAATTGTTGATCAGAACTACTTGATGGTTCTGAGAAAATAATATCCTACATGAGGCTACTGAAGTCCTCTTTCTCCCCATGGTGTGACCTTAGGTGACTTTCTTCTGGCTTTCAGTTGAAGATCTTACCCATCATTGAGGTGAGTGAATTGATTTACTGCTTGAGTCTATTTCCTTCCTTAAAGGAGTCTTCATTGAAAACTTGACCCATTTTGGGGTGGCCATAGCTAAGGATGGGTTTTGTCCACAGCCTGAGACAATATAGTCACTATGTGAGAAACTTGATCTCAGCTTGATATCTGCTATTAGAGTGGTTTTTAATAGAATAATTTAATACGGTAAAATATATATAAAATTTACCGTTTTTAATTGTGTAAGTCAGTGGCATTAAGTACATTTACAGAGTTGTACAGTCATCACCACTGTTTCTAGAAGTGTTTCATCATTCCAAACAGAAACACTGTACCCATTAAATAATAAACCTCCACATCCTCTTCCCTCCTCAGATCCTGGTAATCTCCATTCTATTTTCTGTATCTATGAATTTGACTATTGTAGGTTTTTCATATAAGGTGAGTCACACAATATTTGCCCTTTTATGTCTGGCTTATTTCACTTAGCATTTTCAAAGGTTCATTCATGTTTTAGAATGTGTCAGAATTTCATTCCTTTTTACGGCTGAATAATATTCTAGTATATGTATATATCACATTCTGTTTATCAGTCTGTTGATGGGCATTTGGGTTGTTTTCCTTAGAATTTTTATATGTCAGTAATTCTTTTATTTATTTATTTTTCTTTTTTACTTTAAGTTCTGGGGTACATGTGCTGATCTTTCAGCATTGTTATATAGGTATACACATGCCATGGTGGTTTGCTGCCTCGATCCCCGCTCACCTACGTTAGATATTTCTCCTAATGTTATCCCTCCCCAATCTCCCCACCCCCTGCTATCCGCCCCCAACCCCCTACTATCCCTCCCCTAACCCCTCACCCCCCAACAGAACCCAGTGTGTGATGTTCCCCTTCCTGTGTCCATGTGTTCTCATTGTTCAATATCCGCTTATGAGTGAGAACATGCAGTGTTTGGTTTTCTGTTGTGTCAGTTTGCTGAGAATGATGGTTTCCAGATTCATCCATGTCCCTGCAAAGTACATGAACTCATCCTTTTTTATGTCTGCATAATATTCCATGGTGTATCTACGCCACGTTTTCTTTATCCAGTCTATATTTGATGGGCATTTAGGTTGGTTTCAAGTCTTTGCTATTGTAAACAGTGCCACAGTGAACATGTGTGTGCATGTGTCTTTATAATAGATCGATTTATAATTCTTTTGGTATATACCCAGTAATGGGATTGCTGGGTCAAGTGGTATTTCTATTTCTAGATCCTTGAGGAATCGCCACACTGTCTTCCACAATGTTTGAACTAATTTACACTCCCACCTATGTCAGTAATCTTTTTTTTTTTTTTTTTTCTGAACATCAGCCCTTGAGTTCCAAGTAATTCTTAAAGAATTTAAAGGTTGTAGAAATTGGGAATTTTGTAGATATGCTAGAAAGATGTCATTTCCTATACTGTATATAATAATTTATTCTACAGACTAGTTGCTGTGTATATATTTGGTTTTCAGAAGTGATTTTATAGATACTGTACATGCTCTTGACTTCATTAATCTTTTCCTTTTGCTAATTTTGGTTCTTGTGTATACAGAATTGTAGACTTACAAGGTAATTTAGTTGTTAACTAATTCACCCTACAGTCTACGTGAAACCATTCTCACAGTCTTTGATAAGTAGTTACCAAATCTCACTATTTTTACTGTGATAGTGAATGACTTTCATTGATTTGCTTTTTGAAAGAATAGTTGATCTTACTTGCCTCGGTATCCTTACCTCTGAGTCTATTTGTCTGTTGTAACCTGGCTTTTGCCCCACCACTCCTCTGATTAAATTGATGAGCTAAGTATTGGTTTTTTTTTTTTTTT